ATAACTACAATAATACATATATGGTGGCTTAATATGATCTACAATCAATACTTATTTAGTCAAATAAATAAATGTGTAAAGAATATTTCAGGATGTGTAGCGTTTCCCTCTTATGGGGACATTTTTGCGCTATCACCCTGATTTATTAATTAATAGTTTTATTTGTGTGTAGGACAGGTGGCGATTCCCTCTAGGGGATGTTTTTTCGCTTCATCCTACATTGTATAATTTGATTTTTTAATTTTATCGGAGTTTTATTAGTAGTGTAGGGCGGTTTACGCTTCCTTCTAGAGGACATGTTTACGTTCCACCCTACTGTTAATTGATTAATTTTATTAATTGATTTATTAATTTTATCGGAGTTTTATTAGTAGTGTAGGGCGGGTTACGCTTTCCTTTTAGAGGACATTTTTACGTTCCGCCCTACTGTTAATTGATTAATTTTATTAATTGATTTATTAATTTTTTTTTTCTTTTCTTTCTCCTCCAACCCCAGCACACCCCCCCCCCCCCCCGCCCCGAAGCCTTACTAGACGAAATAAAAACAAAACCATCACAAGACCAGCTACTCTTTTTTCTCTAGCTTTCTCTTTTCAGGCGCTGGATTCTTCCTTCAGAGAATGAACAACAGAACTAATAACGAAATCAACCACCGTACCGGACAACAAAACCAAATGGAAGGAAGAATGGTCCAGGCCTTACACTCACCAACAAGGCCCAAGGAAGAGTTGCACCGCCCTGTCATTCAACCGGACAAATCGACCAGACCGACGAAAATGACCTAAATATATATATATATATATATATATATATATATATATATATATATGTACATACTATGTCTAAATGTTTGTCTCTGTCCAAATGTTCGTTCACATTCATGTCTGTTTTGTTACAAATTCGTCTGTTTTGTAAACGTCCACTGGCACCTCTTTATTCTTTGCACCTGCTATCTCATGTTTCTTGCTGTTATCTATTGTCTTCTGTACATATATATATAAAAACCTAATTATCCTCTTTTTCACTAATCACATTGTAAATTGTTGCACCTTGTATACATAACATGTTATTGTCTGCGATATCACCTCGGTGGAAGCGGACGTAAAATACAACTAACTAACAACAACATTCACATTAACTTGCCTACGATATCACGTGGACATAAAATTCCCGGAACGAACGAACGATTCTAAATAAAACTGATCCTACATTAGTATAAGAACGTCTGGTCTTCATTAACATAATATATAATTGGTTGTTAATAATTATGCATTTAGAACAGGCCAACTCCTAACATTGTCCGATGAGAGTTACTTCCCTTTGCCAACTTCCTTTTCAAATAACAATTTATGGGATTGGTCGATAAAAATAGCACAATCATCTAGGGCGGATAACTTGAAAACGTGTCTCTCCCATAGATTAACCCAGGGTATAGAGGAGTAGAACGGAATGAGTACACTGGGTAACCGAGGATGTGAGCTGTTAGGACTACCTGGTTAGTCAGCCAGGGCCTTTTTCACTGAGCAATGTTTTGTTCACGCGTGACTAGTTATTTACAATTATAATGTGGAGTTAATGGACTAGAAGGGACAGTTTTTATATTGCCATACTGTGTATCAACGTCATATGATTTATATCTATGGAGTAACATAGAGTTCATATGGGTGATGGGTCTGTAATGACGTTTATGTAGCAGATAAAAAACATGTTCTCTTCAAGGTTATTTTATTTCATTTATTATGAAATCATTTTTTTCTTTTTTAGTTTGAAATGTTGAGATAGCTACAAATTACTAGTGACCGCCTGCACATTTCGTTAAGGTCACGAGATGTAAACGGGGCTAGGGCACGTGATTGTTGCCGATGGGCTAGGGTTAGAATTATGATAATGAGTTAGTTGTATTTTACGTCCGCTTCCACCGAGGTGATATCGCAGACAATAACATGTTATGTATACAAGGTGCAATAATTAGAATTAGCGCAGGTGGTCTTAATTATGAGATCTGACCACTGGTGTATAGAATAAAGTCCCCAATGTTATTTCGAAGCTGGATGATCAAATTACCTTACCCCAGATCTATTAAGCTCAGTATCACCTACCTGCGGAGTTAGCATTCGAATACGTTGTACGCGAGGTCAACTTCATTATCCCGGTCGGTGCAGAAAAGTGGGTCGTTAAATCCCATTTCATTATCTTTCATTAAGTACGACCATATTAACACATGGTCGCATGAAATTAATAACCGGAATTCCGTCGAAAATTTAGTTAGACCATTACACCGACTTCATGATCTGGCATTGATTGTTAATGATCATAACAACGGCGCTTATTATTGGAGACTTAGCCTAGATTTTCACATTAAAACATTAAATGGCGGTTGTGTTTCAATCCGTTGAAATCGCGACCATCCGAAGTTCTAGAGAGTTAATTATAGGCTTGTCATGTGATTAAATGTCTTAACAATAGGTAATATAACATTTGAAGTCAAATAAAAAACCTGCAATGCATAATGCATCTTTAACATTTAAGAAAACAAGCTCTGAAAATCTAGGGTAAATAACCCGTAGGTTTCGATCCAATTGGTTTTAAAAAAGATTTTGATCAAAAGTATAAGTGGAGTTCATCAGTTCATCATGATATATTTGTAAATACTCAACGGAGGCATTTTTGGACTGATATTACGATTACAGACTCTATGTTCACATTATTGCAAGTTTACACAGTGATTTAGAGTCCGGAAAAACGCGTTCTGTAATGTAACGACAGCATACTAGTACAATTTGACTTTTAAACAAAACCACAACAATAACTTATAATTACGGAAAACAATCACTGGTGTGTATACATATAAGTTTTATTGTGTCGTTTTCACATTTGTGATTGAAAACAATACGAGAATGCTTGTCGAAACGTGGTGCTATGTATAAGTGATATTATTCCATGTAAATAAAGGTTGTGTTTTGTATTGTGTGCAATCCCTAAATGTCAGCCAGGATGGCATACAAGCAATAAAATTAGTGCATAATCAAAAGATTTCGCGGAATTATCTGTGTCATGGGGTTTGTTTGGTAGATTGATCTGGAGTTGACTAATCAAATCGGTGCATTAAGAAACGCGTCTCATAAAGAAAGTTATAAGATGAAGCGGTGCCAATAACCGAAAATATAGAATGGAACAAAATGTTGGAATAAATTTTAATTAAACTGCAATTTAATCAAAAACTATACGCAAAACGTGTCTCTACCTGGTCCCTGTGGGGCCGTGAAGCTTTATTACGATTCTGAATTAGCGCTGGTCGAGCAAAACGCCCATCGCGGTGTTTAAGTGAAAGGGGAGAAAATATCCCCTCCAAATTGCTTCTGCAGTAAAGACGTCATACTACTTGTAGTGTTTCGTTTGATTAGAGCTAATCCCACTTAACACTGCTGTAAAGGAAGCAAATTTCTGTTCCAAATTATGACTGGCCAATGGTCCGATTAACAACTGTAAAGGAAGCAGATTTCTGTTCCAAATTATGACTGGCCAATGGTCCGATTAACAACTGTAAAGGAGGCAGATTTCTGTTCCAAATTATTACTGGTCAATAGTCCGATTAACAACCTATAGCTAACTAACTGCGTAACAATATCATTACGCTTTAAACAGAGCTCCAAATGGGACCAAATATATTTACATAACGTTAAGTCAGGACTCACGATTTTATTATGCCCAATTAACCAGTGGCAGTGCATAGCAGAATATTGCAGAAAAACTAATTGCGTGACAAACGAGGCTATCAACACGCATGCAATGTAAACAATACTGTTAACGGGTTTAATGCATTAAATCACTGTCCAAAGTTTTAGGGAAGACCCCGGATTAAACGAAGGGCTGTCGTGTTGCTGTACTGTATTGTTAATTTGCCTTGTCTATAATTGTTGTTTTCTGTTAAAGCGCTCAGTTTTTCGTCCCGTGCGAAAGATTAGACGTTTTTCCTTGGCAGTTCGGCCGGAACAACTTTCTGCCATTTATCAGCCTTTAATCATACTAGTTGCTAAATATCTTTATGAACATCTGAAATTCTAGAAGTTTAAAATCCGTCATATAAAAAAATAATAGCTGTGTACACATTGGCGGGCATGTAAAGGAACCCTCGACAGTTGGAATTCGAAATAAAAGTAGGCCATCGCGCCACAGTCCGTGCAAAATTCCCCTCATAGCACACTGCATGGGGTATGTTCGCCTTCATTGGCCCAGTGCGTGCCAAATAGTAAATCTGAAAAGAGAGAGAGAGAGAGAGAGAGAGAGAGAGGGGGGTCTAACGTCCACTCGACACAAACTAGGTCATTTCGAGACTAACATATGGTTCAATTTTATTTCAATAATTCGCTTGCACGTAGGGGTCTTTAACAGTGGGAGGAAACCGGAGGACCCAGAGAAAACCCACGAGGTTGGACAGGTGACCCTACTTCTTGTCGCGTACAACCGGGGAATCGGAACCATGCAAGTACGCCAGCTGACTCAATGACAGACCTTATGATACATGACCTATGTCATATTATTCAATTGTGATCACATTTATTTTCTTGATGGGCCTAAGAAAGATTACGACTAATTTAAATTTCAAATAAATCTATTTAGTCGATCACAGCTCGAGGTTGAGATTTGACACGGGTGAATTCCATGGGCCAGGGTTTTTTTTAAAATGTCGCCTATTCCCAACATAGGGGAGGGAGTGCAGAGTTTTTTCGTTTTTTGGGTTTGTTTTTTTTACATTTTGCGGTTATAATTAAAATTTCGAGTTAACTTTTAGAACATTAATGAAGTAAAGAAAACTGATAAATTACTCATCTAACAGAAAAGATTTTTTTCCTGTCTATACACAAATGTAATGTCGTAGTAGGCCTACTAGCATATCGGAGACAACTCCATTTAAAGTCTATTCGTTTCGGTAAAGAATATTTCCTTGAATTTTTTTAAACCATTGACGCTTGATTATCCAGTCGTGCTAATACCCATGTCTGGTAAATAAAAGCTTGTTATTAACTGGGTTTGCAGTGAATAATGTGAAACTTTATAAAACGTGTCACAGGTAATAGGTAAAACATCAGATAGTTATGAAGGATATTTATATAGAAGCTGTTTATAAATTAATATAGGTGAAACTTTCAGGGCCACTGTTATCCACAGGCCGTGCTAATTTAGAACGATATTCTCAAATGTTTCTCCCTTCCTTGTTTGTGTATAATCATTAGCCCTGTTTAGGAGCAGAACAGTAGGACGTTAAACTCCATTTCATTTCATTGTATAATCCATGAATCAGAATACATGCCCTGTGGACCACTATAATAAGCTGTTGTTATTGTTTGCGTTTAACGTCCGCTTCCACCGAAGGTAGCCAATGCAAATATCGCAGACAAACGTTGCCTTATTTTTGTATCTTGCTTTGAAACCACAGAGTGACTCCACCGAAATCTGTAGTGTAAACTTGAGGCTTGTATAGATGACATAAAAAATTGGATGAATCTTAATTTCCTAAAATTAAATGATGATAAGACAGAGGTCATCTTAATCAGCAGAAAATCTCTTTCTCAATCCGTTAAAATCGGTGATTCAACAATAACATCCTCTCAATCAGTTAAAAATCTTGGAGTTTACTGTGATCTCGATCTTAAAATAAAAAGTCACATCTCTACTACCTGCAAATCATTAAATCTTCATCTTTACAACATTGGTAAACTTCGACCATTTATAACGTCAAATATCGCTAAAATGTTAACTAACGCTTTCGTTCTCTCCAAACTAGATTACTGCAATTCGCTTCTATACCAATTACCAGCATCAGATATAAACTGCAGACTCCAGAAAATTCAGAACAAAGCTGCACGTATCGTTTCTCTAACTAAACAATCTGAACACATTACTCCAGTACTCCAAAATCTTCATTGGCTACCAGTTTATCAACAAATTAATTTTAAGATCGGTCTTTTAACTTTTAATTGTCTAAATAATAACTGTTCCCCACAATATCTTAATGAAATTTTAACCCCGTATAAACCAAGCAGGAACCTACGCTCTGCTGATAAAAACTTACTTCATGTTCCTACAGTAAAAACTAAAACTGGTGAACAGGCTTTTGTTTACGCCTCTGCTAACGTGTGGAATGAATTACCTAGACATGTAAAAGACTCTACTAACATTGCTGTTTTTAAAAAAAATCTTAAAACCGAACTTTTTAAACGTGCTTTTAAACTATAAACATGTTGACATTTTAATGTTTTAGAACTATTTGTTTTATATTATATGTAATATTTTAATTGTGAAAAGCGCCGCGGAGCAGCTGTTAGCTGGAGCACTCAGCGCTATACAAAATGATTATTATTATTATTATTATTATAATTATTAGTGCATGAGGATAGGTCTTTCCTGTGGGAGAAAAGCGGAGTACCCAGATAGTGTAGAGTCATAGACAAGGTTGAAAAGGCGCCCATCTAGATAGATCTAGATAACAAACCTCATCTCTCAACCCTCCATGTTTCGAGATAAGAGAGATGGTGTTATATAGTTCCACGTAGCAAAGCCTAACGCAAATCTCATCGGGCCTCAGTAAGCAAAATTGACAATATTTTTCCACAAACCGAAGATTGTTTATTGTTATTTATAATATTTCTGCCGTATCCAACCACAATTAAGCATATAATCCTACCTGAAACAGGTATAAATCGGGAAACCTTCAATGACAACGTTTGAAATGTGCATTCTTCCCATGATGCTGATTGGCTGGATTCTGCATAAAGTACAATTCGTTTCGAACCGACGATCATTTCCATAATTGCCGCCGATATGCCACTACCCAAAAAAGCTTTAAGAGAAGAAACACCACACAGAAACCAGCTCTTGTTGAAAGCGATGCTGAAGATACTGGGGAGGAGAGGAGGGTAGATTCCCCCAGTTCACAGACCTGGGGATGCGTGCCTCTTTGGGGAAAACAATATTACCTGGAAGCTCCAGGGAGGCATCCCCAAATCTTCCCCATGAATCTGGAAAGCTGTGGGGGTGCTCCCTCGGCCTATATTTCTGACAGGGAGTTGGATGGCTGAATGGTTAGCATATGTGCGCGCTGTATCATAAGATCTGTCGTTGAATCAACTGGCGTGGTTTCGATTCCCGGGTTGTATGTGACAAGTAGTAGGGTCGCCTGTCCAACCTCATGGGTTTTCTCTGGGTCTTCCAGTTTGCTCCCACTGTTAAAGACCCCTACGTGCAAGCGAATTGTTGAAAAAAAAATTTAACCATATGTTAGTCCCGAAATGACCTGGTTTGTGTCGAGTGGACTTTAAACCCCATTTTTCTCTCTCTCTCATATTCCTGACAAAACGTCAGAAACACATCAGGAAAAATTTCAATGCAACATTGAAATTTTTGCAGTTCTCCCGAAGCTTCCCTGGGACATCAATTTCCATCGGCAGGAAATCGCTGAGGCAAAAAATGTCCCTTGGAACCTGTCCCTGAGCCACCGCGGCTCCCATGACAGAATTTAAGATGATGTACATGAAATTAAAAATAATAATAAATTAAATATATCCTTACAAAAATATAAATGCAGAGTTCATCTAGTACGAATGTTTAGTTTTTATAAGGTAACATTGTATTTTTTTATTTTTCAGGTGTAGCCAATGGAATGTTTGTAGAGCTGCACATGTATAATCAACATATTGATGAACAGCAGATGGCCAATTTGTAAATAATAAAATAAATATATGATAATCATCAAAGTATAGTAATCAATGGGATAAATAAAGCTTACCTTGGAACCTGTCAAATCTGCTGTTTGTGTTGCAATACAGTGTTGCAAAAAAAAACCAAAACAATATAGTGCATAAAATATATGGAGAAATGTTATTTGAATCTTAATGTTTTTCTAAGAGGATGACGAAAAGACCTGAGACATGTATAATAGACTACAGTAAACAGATATAGATGGTTAATTCTCCCTTGAAAATTAAAGGCACTTTTAATGAATTCATAAAATGTGATATGTTAAAAAGGGGAGACCACTATGAGCACAAGACATCCTACAATGCCGAAGAAACCCAACACATACAAATGTACTATTATTTCATATAAAAACAAATCATGGTCTACATATCTAGAATTAAGAGAAAGCATATCCTGCCTCAGGAACAGCACACAAATTTATATTTATTAACATTTTCATGTATCCAGCATCCGACAACAAAAAAAAAATATCAGACATCTACCTGCTGTTTATACAAGGATTAGGTTGTTTACATTTTGATGAATAGTTAATTATGCATGATAGCAGCTTTGTTTGTTGGTTATTTGTTTTGTGTACATAACTATATGCATGTGGCAGCAGAAGTTTGTACATTTGAAGCAAACTATTTGATGATTAATACAGTCTTTAGTTGTACGACTGTTATTAACACTTGTGCAGGACAGATGTTGTTAATAGTTGTACCGGTCAAAAGTTGTTAACAGTTGTTCAGGACAGTTGTTGTTGTAAATGTTAAAAGTTTTTTTACAGTTGTAAAGGTTAAAGGTTGATGACAGTTATAAAGGTCAAAAGTTGTACAGGACAGAAATTGTTAACAGTTGTACAGGATAGAAAATGTTAACAGTTGTACAGGATAGCAATTGCTAACAGTTGTTCAGGACAGAAATTGTTAACAGTTGTACAGGACAGAAACTGTTGAAAGTTGTAATGGTTAAAAGTTGTTTACAGATGTAAAGGCCAAAAGTTAACAGTTGTAGATGATAGAAGTTGTTGACAGTTGTACAGGACAGAAATTAACAGTTGTACTGGACAGAAGTTGTTGACAGTTGACATTTCCAAAACATTCAGTTAAAAAATCATCTGAATCATGTTAAGAATATTTAGAGTCAGACAGAAAATGAAGAAAATTATTTTTATGTCAATGGTTGGAATGGTCCTTTTTATGTTTTCCTTACAATTGAAACAACTTTCCATAGATTCCAAAGTTAAGATTCAGAAGTTTGTCAAATCAATCCATAGGTTAAGCAATGATGTTAACATGGAAACTATATGGAGAAATTCAAATGGGAAACACAATGGTCATTGCAAAATTCCATATTTGAAGAAAATGATTCGACCGGCTATGTCTAACACAAGCACAAGACAGGAAGTAACATGTCATCGAGTTAAACCACACAGAGAATCATGTCAAATAGCCGATGATTTGTTTAAAAGTAAACCTATTGGTACCTGCAGTCATCAGAAAAACTACGAATTCTGTAAGATATATGTAAGTGTTTGTTGACCTCTTCATACTTTTTGTGATTATTATATAACCAGGAGCTAACCAGGATTTTCCGGTGTAGTCTACACTTGTCAGTGGTGCAGGATAGAGGGTCTGACAAAAACATGGTCTAGTCATTTGGATGGGACAAAGGACCAAGGTCCCATGTACACATTGATATACACATGTAAACCTAAAAGAAATCTTGATAGTTGGAATTTGATGAAGAAAATACGAATGCGCAACTGTCTGGCCTAAACTTCCCTCATAGCACACTGTACAGTGTATGCAGTCGTCACAGAATAGAAGCGGAGCTTGGGGGCAAAAATTCCCAGCTGAATACACGACTTGGAGGGTTTCATGGATAAAAAATAGGCTACAATCAAGAGAAATAATTGCATCTTATCTTCGATCAGTAAACAGGAAAATTGACTCAACTGTCTGGGATATGGCAAGATTCAAATGAAATGTACATACAGTAGTTTTTGAATTTATAAAGTCTGTTGAATGGCGAAATGCAGTCTAGAGACTCAAGTCATAACTATGATCCAGTTAACTAGAAATTTATACACATGTTCATAAGATGAGGAAGGTGATCATTATTTTCAGAGTACCGGTACTTGCCCTTGATCACCTTTTAAGATATCTTGTGGCTCCTCAAGTAACAAAATTAATTATCAAATCAAATTGAAATTTATACACAGTGTTTATGATCACGAACAAAAGACAACTCTCTTTCATTTTGTATGTTTCAGAGTAAAGCCTAGTTTAGATCAAGAGCTGAAAATTCAAAAAGAATTGATTTTGTAATTTCAGAAATATACCTATCTTTCATACATCCGCAGTATCCCCAGTGGTCTCATTCCGTTTCACTCCACTATGCCCTGGGTTCATCCATGGGGGAGACACGTAATCAAAATATCCGCCCTTGGTCGTAGCTTGATTCTTCGCAAACCTGTCTTAGCCTCATTGTTTAGGTTCACAACAATATGGCGACTTCTTCGCTCGATTATGAGAAACTTTGCAAGGAAATTAATATAAAAGACGTGACATGCGCACATTAAAGATGTCCTAAAACATCTTTTAGATGGGAAAGATGTATTTGTGTCAATTTTATGTATTTAATGATTTTTTTGATTGATCGATAAAAATAGCACAATCATCAAAGGCAGTTAATTTGTCTCCTCCGTGAATGAACCCAGGGTTAGGGGAGTGGAACGGAATGGGACCACTGTGGATACCGAGTATGTCTTTATTTTGTCATGTTTCAGAGTAAGCCTAGTTTTCAAGTAAGAACTGAAAGATCAATAATTTAAATATTTTGGTCATTTTGTACATTTCAGAGATATGAGTCGGATGCTATGCTTAGGGATGTGACCTGTTCCATTAATCAGTGTGTTTTACCTGTCTATCTCGGCCAGATTAACAAAAATACAGGTGAAAAAATATGGACACCGTTTACCTCCGCTATTGACCTCACCCATGGTATATATGGAATTAGAAAACAAGGCAATTTTGGATTTTTCTACATAAAATGTGTTCTTTCAAATGAAAACAGTGATCTAGACACGAGTAGTGTGTTCTTTGATCAGGATGAAGGTGTTTACTTTGTGCTGCAGCTCATACTTTTACCTCCTATGTATATCAACTCAACGGAACAAAAGAAAATGGCGGAAGAAAAAATTAACGTTAATATCATTTTCGTAGACTCTGTATCCAGACACCATTTTTACCGGTCTTTGCCCAAAACTGTTGATCTATTTTCAAATCTTAATACAAATACAAAAACAAAGGTACTAGATTTTGAGTTAACACAATCTGTAAGGTCGCGAACATTTGAAACGCTGCAGGCCATGTTTTCCGGATATGTTAATCTGGACGAAAAACCTTTCGGTGTTCTTGCCATGCCACCTGTGGCTTTGAAAACAGAGGAATTGTTGGGGAAATTCAAAGAGAAGGGTTATAAAACGTTGTGGTTGGAGGATCTGTGTTACTTGTGGGAATGGGGCATCGTCAAAGATCTCCTAGTCCATGACTCAAGGTTATCTCGGTTTGAAACCTGGACCAAGTTAAAAGCAGCATTACTTAAAGCGAATATAGATTCATTGGACATCACATTAACTAGTTGCGAAGTGATGCTCGTGAACAATCACAACGATCCATTCCATGACCTTGACACTGTCTGCTTCAATGGACGACACCATCATGAGTATTTTTTAGAGTATTTGCAAATTTATCAGACGTACTTGAACAATATGAATCTCCCCTTTTTCACATTTTATGAAACGAACGTCGCCCATGAAGACACTGGGCGTAGAATCCAAACACTTGATGTCCATTTAGAAGACTTTCTGAACTTTGCGCGGAACCAGCCGAACACCTTGACAGTTGTCATGTCGGACCATGGAAATTCCTATGGTGACTTCCTCCAAAGATCCGAAGAAGGTCAAAGAGAACTTTATCATCCTTCCATGTTTTTAATCATTCCAGAAAAAGTTGCACGTTACCTTGGAGACGAAAAAATGAAAAATTTGATAGAAAATCAGAATCGTTTGATTAGTCACCTAGATCTGTTTTACACATTAAATTCCTTATTGATTGGTGGAGAGCAAGTCAAAGTAGCCAATAGAAATCAGCGTTTCAATGTTACATCACTCGGACTTTTTGATCAGATTTCCCCCCATCGAACATGTAGCGATATGCCAATGATTAATCCAAATCTGTGTATTTGTGAGGGTTTTGAATCTACAGTGTCGAACAATACGGATTATGTTGTTTACGCACATTTTGCTCTCGGTAAAATAAACAATGAGATACAAAGAGAATATCGTGAGCATCACCGACATTCGGTGACAGGAGTCGGCCATTGCCAACAATTACGATTATATCAGTTCACAAATGTCAGGAAAAGTTTACATGTAAGTATTTGGTTTATTCCTTAAATAAATGTAGGTCGTAGCACCATTGTCCTGGCAAAATTTCCCAGTTGGAGCAGAACAGTAGGACATTAAACCCTCCCATTACATTTCATTTTTGTTTATTAAAAATGTCAGTCGGGGGTTTAAAGATGCCGATAATCATTTGAGGCATTTTGAATCCTTGCCAACTACAATATTTAAATGTTAAAGTTCAATAATTACAATTTGATACAAGTAGACCATAGTGCGGAATAGTGCTGCAAATTCCCATCATAGCACACTGTATGACATATTCAAGTCTTCAGTAGCCCAGTCTATGCAGAACATCATTTATTGAATGTTTCATTTTATTTAACAGGACAACAGGATGACCTTGAAGATGAATCTAGAAGTTCAATCAGGTGTTTCCAATGGCAACGAGACAGATATATTTTTTGTTACAATGTCCATAGAAACAGGTAATCATAACATAACTCTACAACAAGTTGAACGAATCTCAGGATACAGTCGTTACAAGACATGTGCTGATGAAGGTGTCAGTCTGCCATTTTGTGTCTGTGATATCACTTCCCCCCATTCCACCAATCAGAAACATCTGAGCCTTGAGGACCTCGAGGAAGACATTTTGTTGATGCAGTCATCCATCCACCATATTGAAAATAAGTGTCTATATTTAGTGAGCAACGATAATCAAGTTGGTCTTGTACTTTATGCAGTAAATATCTGTAAAGATTTGTATTTCGACATATCTGTAGATGTCCAGCACATCGAATTAGACATTTCCACAAGTTTACCTGTTAAAACTCAGGTTTTCCCAGGAGAAATCCAGTTTCTTACTTCAGGTGTCCGGTCTTCACCCAATTCTAAATGGTTGTGGTCTTACTCAATTAGTTTTACGGATTTAGCTCTAAAGTAACATAGCCGAGATTGGTTTAAGAGAGAGAACTCTTACAAAACTAAATGGTTGTGGTCTTACTCCAAGTGAGCTCTAAGGTAGGGACCATACAATGTCGTCAGACATAGCTACACGCAGAGCCTTATATACACGACTCTGGTTATACGTAATATTAAGATTGGTTCAAGGGAGACAACTCATATCAACCTAAATGCTTTTTTAATATTGATTGTTGTGGTTTATATGCACTCCTAAACTGAAAGTGCTATCAGGTGCTCAAGATAATGTATGCATATTCTGCCTCTTGCACAGTATTCATAAGAGTGGAAAGTTATGTGATCAGTTTGTTTATATGGCAATTGTGGCTTATTATCTGGCATGCTACTTATTATTATTTAGTGCATACCTGATAAAACTATTTTTTTAAATTTTGTGTCGCTTACAAAATGGCTATATTTGTTGATTATTTTTATAATTGTCATATTTTGAAATGTTGTATTTAAATGGCACATTTATTTTTATATCAGTATTTATAGTACATAGTACTTACTTTGACTATTTATGTTACATGTACATGTACTAACTTTATGTAAAGTATTTATATTACATGTACTAACTTTAAGTAAAGTATTTGTATTACATCTACTAACTTTAAGTAAAGTATTTATATTACTTTTACTTACTATAAGGCAACACAAATAAAATAAGTTGTTTCTCGGGCACCGCCCGCACGCAAAATTGGTTGCGCGTGCGGCCTATTTATTAGTCTTGATGAAAAATAAAAAATATGTAACGCCCGCCCGAACATCGATAAGCAAGTCATAAAAAGAATATGCCGCATGTATCTACATGCCCCATACGTGAATATCCATTCAAATGTATTAAACTGATTCAGATGTAAACGCTCATTTACGGGTCTTTTTTATTGATATCGAAAGAACCTCCATTTTTGTATCACGTGATTTTAATTACCTCCCCTTGTGAACTAGAATTTGATTCGTGTTAAACACCGAAAGTCATTGACAACAATGCATTGTATTTCAATCATTCGATCTTAATCGGCTCATTATTGCCGGCTTCAGTCGGTCCATGTTTGAAAAAATCCTACTTATAAAACAATGAATCGTAGAACAGGTTAATTATTATAACTTGTGGCTACGAATACGATACGATGATAGTCACCATGCCTTAGTCAGAATCTGGGTCATTAGCACATTTAACGGTAGTTTTGATAATCCGGAAAATAATAATTGGATTACACATTTGATGGTTTTACTGACCAGTTGTTAGTTAAATTTAAATAGTCATTCGATATAAACCCCAGATAGAACACCGAATATCCTGAGAAACACACCGAATATCCTGAGAAACGGTCATTTCCCGAATCCCGATGACACGTGACATGCATTGGTTGGAATTAGGTCAATCATTATAAACCAGCGATACTAGATTTAGATCTAAGTGTCGTTTACCGTGATGATTATTTTTGATACACATGCTGACAGAGGCTTACCCTTTAAAATATTGTCGTTATTATGGACGGCTATTAATAGTCGTACGGAATTTTATTTTAAACCAATTTCAATTATGGTTGTCACCATTACCATTAGTAAGCTACATTACGTGAATTAAATATGGAAAATTATTTTCCTTACAGTCAGTGTTCAGTGTTTGAGTAGACTTGATTTTTGGGTTTATGTTCTAAGTATGTATAATATATAACTGAAAGCAAAACTGTAGACAAGTAATGACTTTCTCATTAAAAAAATAAAATACAAGGCCGCCCTCCCGCCCCAACAATTTTCAACAATAGCAAAATTTTATTTTGCACCATCCTCTAGCCAGAAATGAGGTAAAAAAAAAAATAAACCGCCCTCCCCCCCTACAGTTTCAGCTGTCAGTTGCCCGAGAAACAAGACATTTATTTTGTGTAGCCTAAGTAAAGTATTTATATTACATGTACTAACTATAAGTAAAGTATTTACAATATAGGGTTTGTCTTGTATGGTTCTGTTTGTTTGTGTAGTCCTCCTGTGTAAGTCAAGTATTTGTGTGTTTACTTATTTAAAGAAACATTCCAATTAAATACACAAATAATAAACTTTAAAAACCATAAATGCTTTTGTTATTTAAAATTATTAGGGTTGCATGTGTTTTAAGGACATTTAGGGAGGAGACCATAGCAGTGATGGGATTTCAAAAAAATTATTGTCGGACATTTTTTCCCGAAAATAAAGGGGCATAACTTTTATCGTAATTTAAGCAGACGTTTTCAAAACACAATAAAGAATTACGTGTCAACAAAATATATTCAAATTCATATGTAAAAAAAAAATAGGTGGTGATGTATGGTCACAACTAGACATTCTTTGGTGAGTCTAGTTCTTGATGAATTCTAGCTCACCTGTAAAATTAGAACTGCACATGAAAGTTAACTCAAACTTGGAACTTGAAAAAAGATAGGTGCAAATGTTTTGTCAGGACAATATTCTCCCCCTCACTTTGCTCACTTAAAGATACATTCCCGGTACAAACTGGGTGATTTAATGGTATATATGGACTAAAAACATATTCAAACTAATTAATTTGTCATAATTTTGCTTCAAATCCTTCTCAAACATTGTAATTGCGAAGGAATGCCCTGCTATAAAAAGTCGATCAAACGAGGTCATGTTTACGTCTCATGACTTACCTCTCTTTGAAGTCAGAGGAGAATTCATTGTATACATAAGACGATGTTGTCTTTAATCGCTATTTATTACAAATATTGAATCCTAATTAAATTCTCGGATTATCCACTAACCGCGTAGTGCAGAAATTCCTAATCGTCGGGCTGTCGATTAGGGGAACCCTTACATTTTTGTCCTGTATACGCTCCATGAGTGTTTTTCGGGGAATCCAGTATTTTTCTAGTAAGATTGGATTCTCTACTTTCCATATATACCAAAATTGCCATACTTTTATTGGAAATAACCACCCGATAAATACTTTTCTGGGAACCCATCTTTAAGCAATTTAGAATCTTCTATTCATATATTAAAGCTAATCGCAAAATAACACCACTACATCTACTCTCATTATTCTGTAGCTACATGTATCCCTCTTACGGATATCATGAATACACCAGCAGTGTGTTGCCATTTTTAAAAACAAGTTTTAAAGCTACTTGTACCACAGTGTTTCATTATATTAGACCTAATCCCACACAAAGAGGGATTTCTAGGGCCATTGCTTCAGGAATATGAATGTACCATTGATTTCAAGAGATTTGGATTTTCGTGGAAAAAGGCCCCTTTTATAGTTTTCGATGTGAGCAATATGTATTGTTTAGTGGTCGAGAGCGAGACATTAAGTAATATATTGTAACAACAAAAGGGGCCTCAAGTGTTTTTACAATATATTACGCAATGGCTTAAGCTCGAAACCATTAAACGACTTAAAATACTGTAAAATACATCACAGGAGTCCAATATTTCACTAGTATAAATAATATACAATTGGCAAGTTGTCCGTACGATTATTTGAAATAATGGTACACCAACAACACAGGATGATGTCACATCTGTATTTTAAACATGTATATTGTACATTTAGGGCATCATTGTTATGGGGAATTTTCTGTGCATCTGATCATGCGTAAGACGTACTATGTCAAAACAATCTTGAACATGTTCACTAAATGCTGTATGGTGTAAATTGACATGTTCGAGGACACCTCATGACCGTAAACATCATCCTACAAAGGATGGATGATGTTCTTGAACAAAAGTAGGATCTGTAAATGTCCTTAAGCATTGATGAGTTAGTCACAAAATAACCAAAGTATTGTGTTGATGAGACTTTAACCCAGTTCAATTCCATGCACTATATTGCGACCCCACACTCCTGTAACGTTGACTACTATAGGGTAAATATAACTTAATTTTGGAATTACTTTTTGTGGTTGGGGGTTCTAGTGGTTAGATAGACGTGTGGGCGTAAAACCATAAGGTCTGTCAAGACCCCTACGTGTAAGGGAATTATTGAAATAAAACCATATGTATGTCGAGTGGGTGTTAAACCCCATTTCTCTCTCTCACCATTAGTGTGGTGACTCCTCATTCCATGCATTGTAATGCAGCCCATGATACTGTTTGCAGACCAAACTTCCCTAATATGGACGGCCTGACAAGGACAGCAGTCTAGTCAATCGAATGGGATGAAAAACCGAGGTCCTGTGTACACATTGGCGTGCACATAAAAGATCCCTTGACAGTTGGAATTCAATATAAGAGTAGGCCGTAGTGTCGCTGTCCGGGCAAAATTCCCCTCATAGAACACTGTAGGGCATACATCTTCATTAGCCCAGTTTGGAGCAGAACACTAGGACTTTTCGTGTGGTAACTGATCATTTCATGACAATCTTTGCAAATTTGAGTAGGGAGCACAATGGCACGGGGTTGCTGGCTCATTAACCTGTGGTAAAAGACAGTGGGTCATCCGGAAGGGACAAAAATCTGACATCCTGTGTACAGATTGCCGTGCACGTAAAAGCTCCCTTGGCAGTTGGAATTTGATATAAGAGTAGGCCATAGTGCTGCTGTCCGGGCAAAATTTCTCTCATAGCACACAGTTTGGTGTATGTCTGTCTTCGTTAACCCAGTCAGAGCAGAACAGTTGGACATTAAACCCCAATTCATTTCATGAACCTGTGGGTGTTGGGGTTGATATCATGGTGTTGGCAAAGGAATTTCCTACCTGGTGCGTAAATGTTACCACATTTACCGTTAGTCAGTCAAAACTGGGAAACATGACTGAAAGGGAGATTCAGCTTAACTGGTAACCATAGAAGTATGTTACATGGCATCTCAAAATGGCATCTGTAAAGACACTGACCAATCATCCCGGTTTCATTCTACTTGTCAGGCATGACAAGTAAAAAAATATTTAAATTAAACACACATTTTGTCATTTCTCCAAATTTATTTTTTAACAAAAAAACAAACAGTTTCTACAATACATCTACATGTACATTAATAGTTACAATATCTAGAACGTTTATATACAATTTTATATACTGGCAATTTAAACATAAGATAACAGCTTCCTGGACAATGTCAACAACTTTATATACATTGATGATCATTGATCAAGGCCAGTTTTTGGCAAAATTGACCAATTTTCCCAAATTTTCACTACTTGTGAAGAAAAGCATAGTATTAATTAATAAAAGCCTCGTTAAAAGTTATTCATATCCTGTAACTTTGGGTCTGGAGGTTGCTGGTTCGCCCCAGTGTTGGCCTAGAAAGTTTAACAGGATTTTCCGGCGTGGTTTCCCCCATGACAGATGTCTAGTCGTTTGGATGGGATAAAAAAAAACAAGGTATCGTGTACACATTGGCGTGCACGTAAAAGATCACGTGGCAGTTGGAATTCATATATAAAAGCAGGCCTTAGCATAGCTGTCCTGGCATAATTTACCTCATAGCACGTTGTATGGAGTATCCCCAGCGTCATTAGCCCAGTCGGAGCAGAACAGTAGGATGTTAAACCCCATTTCATTTCCCAAATTGGGCCCCACATTTTCTACAACCGACCCTGTCTACATTACCTAACAGGATGTTAAACCCCATTTCATTAAGATTGATGATGACAGCTTGTGGGACAATACACTTTAGATTCTGGGTACCTTACATTTAAAGCCATTTTACATTGTTCAGACAATCTAATCCACGCTAATATGGACGCAAACTAGTTTTTAACATTTAATTAATAAAACAATATCAAAAGAGGCCCATCAAAGGATTATAGATAGCGCATTGGGGGAACACCCTGGAAAATCACAATGAACTTTCTCTGGCAAAAGACTGGGAACAAACACAGGACCACCAGGTTAGCGGGCCAAAATCTTACTCACTAAGTCACTGTGGCTCCCAAGTTGTATGGTACACTGTACCTGACAAAATTTTGATCAACTTGTATGGTACACTGTACCTGACAAAATTTTGATCAACTTGTATGGTCCACTGTACCTGACAAAATTTTGAAAAACTTGTATGGTACATCGTACCTCGATATACTATCATCTTTTTATAGTCCATACACCATAAGACATGCCATGGCAATTGCAATTTTTACGCATAATTTAAAACTACAAATCTCAAATACTGTACCAACAGAAAGGTTGTTGTTAAAACTAAAATACAGTTCCAAATATTTATCTTGGAGAACATTTAAATTCAAATTATATAGGGACAAATTAGTGTAATAGTATGTGGAGGTTGGGAATAAAACTAACTAATTCTGTGTAAATGGCAGATGGAATTAAAGAAAGAGTAGGTGGTAACACCTCTATCCCTCATAGCACACTGTGTGGCATATGCCAGTCTTCATTAGTCCAGTCAATGAGAGAGAGAGAAATGGGGTTTAACGTCCACTCGACACAAACTAGGTCATTTCGGGACTAACATATGGTTTTAATTTTATTTCAATAATTCGCTTGCGCATAGGGGTCTTTAGCAGTGGGAGGAAACCGGAGGACGCGGAGAAAACCCACGAGGTTGGACAGGCGACCCTACTCCTTGTCACGTACAACCGGGGATTCGAAACCACGCCAGTCGACTCAATGACGGACTTTATGATACAGCGCGCGCGTGCTAACCATTCAGCATAGGGGTCTTTAGCAGTGGGAGGAAACCGGAGGACGCGGAGAAAACCCACGAGGTTGGACAGGCGACCCTACTCCTTGTCACGTACAACCGGGGATTCGAAACCACGCCAGTCGACTCAATGACGGACTTTATGATACAGCGCGCGCGTGCTAACCATTCAGCCATCCACCACCCCCCCCCCCCAAGTCAATGAAGAAAAGTTGGTCGCTAACCCCATTTGTTTTCTTCCATGTATATAGTAAATTATAAATATCAAGGGATAATAATCACAACATCAGAAGTTACAGTATATAAAATCAATTTAAATATCAAAAATCTGAGCCAAAGTCAAAAAAATTACTGGACTTAAATAAATTGCAATTATAAAACTATTTTTACAAAACGTGAAAAATTATTGATATCAGAGGAACAGATCCTGACATTAAAGATATATTAGCTTGGCTTCCACCATCTTAAATACTGAACCATATATAGACAGGAAGGTCCATATATAGGCAGTGTGTGTAGTGTGGTCCTCCTGCACTTACTAATAGACAGGAAAATCCATACATAGACAGAAAAGTCCACATATAGACAGGAAAGTCCATATATATATATAGCCATGTACAAATATGTATTAGCCAGACACCACTATCAAATTCAGCAGTTCTTTGATGACCTCAAAAATTTGAAATTCTTGTAAATAGAGGTTGGGGATATGATATCAGATATCATAGTTAAATGTTTGTTTCTAGTAATTATTAATGTCTGAACAGTCAGCAATTAACACTAGTCCTTATCTGAATGACCAGTCAACAATTAACACTAGATACTCCTTATTAATGACTGAACAGTCAGCAATTAACACTAGATAGTCCTTTTCTGACTGAATTTGATAACACAAAAAACCTGTGTTGTTTAGGGCTGTATTGGGATATATATCCAAACCACCAGGAAAATATGTACTTTCTACCAAGTAATCATATTTACATTCACTAAAGACTGTGAAGCAGTTATTAATAATAACCAGTAAAATATTACAGAAAAATACACAGAATAACTAATATGTAAAATGTATTAGTTGAATAATATGATTTAAAATAATGGAGTTAAGTTCTAAATGATTTGATATGAATAGTGAATAACAATTATATACATTATATACCATTGCTAAATTTCAACCCTTTCATCCAAAAAATAACCTGTGGTACTGGGCAGGTGGGTTGAACAATACCACGGATAGAAAATGAAGAACCCACAGAACCGGGCAGGTGAGTTGAACGGATAGAAAATTAATAAAGTGAAATTGGGGGAGTGGGTTGAACGACGTAACAGATAACTCAGAGAATTGGGTGTGTGGGTTAAACGACACAGAGGATAGAGATCTGATAAATTAAATGTTGAATCATGAACTGAAATATATCATTATTTTCTTACTCTTGTCCATGCAGATGGATGGGTTGTTCAAGATCTATATGCCGGTTATTTGTTTGAAAAGTGCTGAAATTTTGTGATGATCCCTTATTAGGATAATGAATAATGATGCGAGTATATAATATATTAACAGAATAAATTATACAAAAATCTCTTTATCAAAGAGTATAAATATGGGGCTATGAAGACCCTATTTGTATAGGTGGGTTGATGTATTGATGAAAGAGTATGAAGATGAATACCCTATTTGGAAGCAGACGCTTAGCCCAACATCCAGTCAAGACCCTACTAGGTTATGTGGGCTGATGTATTGATGCAAGAGTATGAATTAAGGACTATGGAGACCCTAATTGGTTAGTCAGGTTGATGTATTGATGCAAGAGTATAAATAAAGGGCTATGGGTTATTGTATTGATGAATACTGACCAAAGCTTGTGCTTTAACCTGAAAAAGCTGATTATACATGTACATGTAGCTTGAAAATCTTATCTCCTGGTACACTTCCAAGTGGGCTTGGTCGGGGGACGCAACCCCTGGAACCCCTTCTCATCTAATATGTCTAATAGTATTGTATAAACAAAGAGTCTAACAAGAGAATGTATCAATGAAAAATATTGAACACCTTCAATTACTGGTGCTTCTTCAGTTTCTTCCCCATACATAAAAAAAAAAGATCTGCGAAGGATTCAAGCTTATAATGATTTACTATGTGTGTTGTAAACCAACCTAGTTACCATTAGTTACTGGCTTTGTATTTGTGTTGAAAATTATATTTGAAAAAAATAAAAACCTTCCACAAGCCTAAGTAACTATTTTTGTCAGAGGAAATCTATAATTTTTTCTGAAAGCATGCCTTTTTTCAGTCACTAATATGAAGTGATGGAAATAGCTTTTTATGAATCTGTTTCAAGATGGCAGACATTTTTGATATTGTCAATCTGTTTCAAGATTGCAGACATTTTTGATATTGTCAATCTGTTTCAAGATGGTGACATCTTTGACAATAAACTCTGTTGAGTAACAGGACCATTAAAACTTGAAGCTCCATCTATGGTGACCTCACACAAGGACTAAAAGATCTGAAAGATTTTTCCATCCAAGCTGACAATACCGATCCAAGCAGTAAATTCAAAGCACCTCTGCCTTACACATGTACATTCTATTGATCGATACTGAAGATAATCCTAAGCTTGTAAATGTTTGATTGGCTGAAACCTCTGATGATTGATGTCAGGAATCGACATAGATTTCATCATGAAATATTTCTTCTCGTTCCGCTAGATATCTGAAAAGATTTAATAATTTCGTTCATTTAATTCAAAATGTTTTGCTTAAAGATGCATTATGTAAGATTACCTTAGTCAAATTACTTGTATTCTGTGAGAAATTATTTGAAGATTTGATCAGAATAGTATAGTCTCTATTTTTATTGCTACCATTGTTACGATAAGAAACAGAGTCTCTATTATCCATCTTTAAATTAAATTATTAAATGGCAATTGTGAATAAATGTTTGAAGCCAAAAGAAAGACCTGCAATAGACAGATATATGATGTACATGTATAACGATTCTTTTTTCGGCAATACACTGTTGATAAAATATAATTAGTTTATAGAAAATGTTCTACTCACTGTAAACAACTGTCAACTAACTTCATTAAAATCTGTGTTCTACCTTCATCTAAATTCATACTGTTGACCAGACTAGGAAGCTTTACTAAAACAACCAAAAAATTATTGACAAAAATATTTATAGAATACATTTATATCTATATAGACCATGTCAATCAGTGATTTGAGTAGCCAGGGGTCTAAAGTGGAGACAATGTCATGGTTGGTGTGAGGCCAAATGGCGACAATGCATAGCACATTTGTTTCTTCTATATTATTTCGGTGAATGTATAAGAGTAAAAATATGCTGCACGCGAGCAGCGTGGTTATCTCTGAACATGTGTCTACAATAACTCTGCATGTACATACCGGTACATTTAATTGTTATTTTGTCATTTGTGATATTTTATACAAATAAGTAACATCTGCATACCATACACAGACTATTCCATTATCCGCCATTAAAATAAGCAGATAAGAACTCGATATGAGTGGTTAATCTCTCACATCATAATAAGAGTTAAATTTCTTCAAAATATGTCAATCATGAAATGAAACTTACCAAATAGACGAAGTAAATGATGAACCCCATAGATCTGAGACGGCTTTATTGGCTCTTTCAGCTGAATCTCTGTCGGTAACAGTTGCCATGACAACAGACTGTCCATGATGTCTGAGCGTCCATCTTGCATGTTATCATGATTATGATGCAAACCGTTGCCGTTCCGCACAGTCATATGTTTATTAGTGGATATATCACCGGATAATTGTACGCTTGTATTGAAGCTGATTTCATTATCACTGTTCGGTTCAACTTTGATTTCTATGTCCCGATTCACAGGCGTACTTTGAACTCTCCTTGACCTTGGTCCAGGCTTCCGTCCACGGGGAGCCGATCTGGGAGTTTCTTCCGTGATGGACTTCCGCGTGATTCTACGAGGGGTAAGATCTTCAGATGAGGAATCAAGGTCTACGTTGTGAGAAAAGCGTTGATGTGGAGAAATTTTTCTTGGTCTTTTTGTATTTTGATCTGTTGGGGTTAAGACTCTGTAATAGATTTTAAATGTTGAATGAGATAAATAGATTAATTATATTGATATTTCTACATCATATATTAAAGATGCATTATGTAACATTTAGATAAAGAGCTGGCTGTTCTTGCTATAATACTTAGGTAAAAAATAGATAATGAAAATAACAATCTACTTTAAAACTTTAATTTACTTTGAAATTATCTAAAATATTAAAAAAAACAATAACTAAAAATGCTGTACATCTAACAACTGAACATTAAAAACTACTTTAAAATTATAAATAAATATTTAAAAATCTCAACACAACAGCAATACGATATGTTATAAAACCCCCTCTCATTTTAACCTGAAAATGTTTTTGTACTGATGTTGTGCAGGGATTTTTAAATATATATTAATATCTACTCTCTGCATCGGCATCATTTGATCCAGTAGCTACACAGTTCTACCTGCATATCCAGCCTCTGCTACTCTTTTATGGGAGTGTTGCCGCCCCACCCCTCTCTACCCCCCTGGTTTAAAAAAGATAAATATATAGACATACCTATCTTGTTCTTGTAATGTATGATATGTTATATTCCGTACAGCATCTTTATACTGATCTCTTTCATTACCATATAATAATATCAGAGGTAACGTAAAATCAAAACAGATTCTTATACCATCAACCATTTCTTTACAAAGAGGAATCCTGTACATATAAAAATATATTTAGCTATTGTCAAACATAAGATAGACTAACAAAATATAAGGTACATTTAGCCAAGCAAATTGTGGACACTACGCCCACATAGAGATAAACTGAAATTATTAACTTTTTATAAAATATTGTGATATAGTGATTATATAGTAGAGTAGAACAGCTCTCAGTTTGTGACATTCTTATAGAACAGCTATGGGCTTGTGACATACATGTAGAAATATATGTAGAACAGCTCTGAACTTGTGGCATACATGTAGAACAGCTCTGAACTTGTGGCATACATGTAGAACTCTGAACTTGTGGCATACATGTAGAACAACTCTGAACTTGTGGCATACATGTAGAACAACTCTGAACTTGTGGCATACATGTAGAACAACTCTGAACTTGTGGCATACATGTAGAACAACTCTGAACTTGTGGCATACATGTAGTACAACTCTGAACTTGTGGCATACATGTAGAACAACTCTGAACTTGTGGCATACGTGTAGAACAACTCTGAACTTGTGGAATACATGTAGAAGACAACCAACTTGTGGTATACATGTACAACAACTCTGAACTTGTGGCGTACATGTAGAACTGCTCTTAGTTCGTGGCATACATGTAAAACAGCTCTGAGCTTGTGACACACATGTAAAACAGCTCTGAGCTTGTGACACAGATGTAGAACAGTTCTGAGCTTGTGACACACATGTAGAACAGCTCTGGGCTTTTGACACACATGTAGAACAGCTCTGATCTTTTAAAGTACACAACTGCTCAAAATGAAAAGAGAAATGGGGTTTAACCCGTCCACTGGACACAAACTAGGTCACTTCTGGTGTGACTAACATATTGTTCAATTTTTTTTTCAATCATTTGCTTGCGTGTAGAGGGTCTTTTAGAAGTGGGAGAAAACCAGGGGACCCAGGAACCCTACTCCTCTTAACACGAGGAAGATAGTGGCTATTAGAACGCTGACTTACCATCTGCCTGGTGCAAAATGCCAACTGTCGGAACTATTACTGCGTGATTTATCTCGTTCTGGCTGATCGTATAAATTATTTAAACAATAACTCTTTACAAATCCTTCCAATATTTCTATAATATTAGGTCTGACTGGTAACTTGACTAACTACAATAGACAAAACATATGAATAATTACTATAGTGAGAGAAATTGGGTTTAACATCCACTCGACACAAAATAGGTCATTTTGGACTAACATATGGTTTGATTTTAACCATTCGGGCACCCAACCACGCCAATAATTAATATAACGCCGACAATCCAACTCTGCAAGCTGCTCTTAGTTCAGTATTAGGTCTGGTTCATAACCTGACTAAATACAATAAACAAATAATATTAGGTCTGACAGATAATATTGTCACAGATACATCACCATGAATCAAACCCTAAAAACAATGAAAATACCACCTACCTTTTCCTTATGATTAATAAGAAAGAAATCATCTTCCAATTTTGTTTTTAATATTTCTGGTATTTCAACATCCACGGGTGAATGGGTAGGCTACAAGAATAAATATAAACATATATACTTATAAAATTAATAGCAAACCTGGCCTATAGTTCAGTTGTGAGAGAGAGAGAGAGAGAGATAGGGTTAAGGCCACTCAAGTGTAGGTGTCTTTAGCATTGAGAGGAAACCGGGTGACCGGGAGAGAAACCATGAGGTTGGACAGGCATTCCTATCCCTTGTCATATATAAATGGGGAGTCGAAACCATGTCATTTAACACAATTACAGACCGTATGATCTAACGCACACATGTTAAACTATTCCCCCCAACCTCACACCCCCACACAGGTTCCTACAAAATTACCAATGGTTAGTCAATTCCAGTCTTACTTACTTGTTGTGGCAGTGTTGGATCATTCGAAATTGCATCAGGACTCTAAAACAAAAACAATATCATAACAATGATTACAAAAATAAAATAAAAAATTACAAACCACTAATGGTTAACAAATATTAAATCAATGTGGTTTAAAAAATGTACTCATTTGTACCAACTGGGCTAATGATAATTAGAATGAGAGAAATGTTACCCAGTTGCGCAGACAGCAGAGTTTCCAGTGCACCTACCCTTTGGGAAATTCAAACTGCCATGGGTTCTTTAAAGTGTATGCCAACATGTAGAAGTCTAGACAATATTCCTTACCAGGTCCTCCTCCGTGAATCACTAACAAAAGGAAACAAGGCTGGAGAAGTCCAGAGGAACTTTCTTGATCAACACTCTGACTGAACCCCAGATCTCCAGGTTAGTGAGTCACTCTGGATCCCGGTAAACAAAATGTGTGAAAGCAGTAGGAAGTGGACTACAATCCCTCTCCCTATATAATAGTAAATGCCAGAGGACCGCAATACACACAACACAAACCCAACAAGACAAGAAAAACTACATAGACATTGTAAGAAATCAACTAATATCAAATCATGTGAATGGATCCGGGAACCAGTCGTAAGAGCCCACTGTGATGATACAGGCTTCACTCAAAAAGAAAATAAACTTATGACATACAAGAAAGACTTAAAGGGATAATAACACTCTTGCTGGCTTGACAGCTCCAGTAAATAAAAAATAGCCTTATTCTAAGTACTAGATGTGTTAGTGTCCTACCTGTTGTGTAAATTATCCATTAAATCCTATTTTACTTGTCCAGAGGGTTCAAAAATATTTTTAAATCCAAGTCATATTTGAAAAGCTTTACGTCAGGCTTTTCAAGTCATTTAATGGAATTTTTCCAATTTTTTAAATTAGGTGTGTTAAGATGAAATTTGTATCATCAATTAATTGGAATATTGTAAAATAGTGCAATTTGTTGACCAGAATAAAGATTGGGACATATTATTCAGTTACAACAAGAGTGGTATTGAGCCTTTAACAGATATAATGCAACTGATCTCTTGAATGGCGATAGGCGGCCAGTTGACGTCATGAGTTAGAATGTTAAACAATTACCTCTTTTGTTGGGCTATTCTCATCATCTGTCTTGGATTCGTCCTCATCATCCTCATCGTCACTGTCTAGACCCTTCCTAGATGTAGAACTATCACCATCTGATGATGATAAATCACCACCATCAAAAGCTCTCTTCAAAATATCATCAATTTTACGCTTACGGTTATCTTTCGTCTGACTGAAATAAAACCATTTTAAAAGTAGAATTCGGGTTTAGGTGTCACTGGACTAAATGAGAGAAAAGGAGTTTAAAGTCCACTCAACACAAACTAGATAAATTCGGGAGTAACATATGGTTCAATTTTATTAGTAGTCTTTAGCTTTGGGAGGAAACCAGAGGACCTGGAGAAAACCCACAAGACTGGACAGGCAATCATACTACTTGTCCTGTACAAGCGGGGAGTCGAAACCACGCTTCAGGACTAACATATGGTTCAATTTTATTAGGGATCTTTAGAGGTGGGAGGAAACTGGGGGACCTGGAGAAAACCCACGAGGTTGGACATGCATCCCTTCAAATTGTCAAAACCACACCACTTGACTCAACGACAGACCTTACAATCTAACGCTCACATGTTAAACCATTCGGCTACCCAACCCCTACAAAAAAAAGGTATATCTATTTCTTTAAGGAATCTATTATTTTTTGGGGGGGGGGGAATATCAAATTTTCAACAGTTTAATCCACCTGATTATTAAACATTTATCGAGGAAAACAATAGAAATAAAAGGAGGCCCATCAAAAGATTGGGTTGAATCTATCCAGTACATAGACTCTAGTACATGACAAATGCTGAAATATTTTTAGTTTATCATATTAAATGAACCATTATCAGACTGATATAATGATGAGAAATAATTACAATTTGATTGGCTAAGATTTATTATACAAATACAGGTAAAATCAGATGATAACAATAACTTTAGCCTCTAGAATTTTAACCGAACAGACAGAGAGGAGTGACAACAATATATTGAAATATTTTTCTTGAATTTAAAGTTATTAGGAAGCAGTAATGGCAGAAAGGAGGACTATCCCAGCATACATGGAATAAGTCACTTTAGCAACAAGGGTTAGACCCACTAATTAAATTACAATAATGATAATCAGACATTATCACCATGTTTCAATGTGAATGTATAAAAAAACCTACTTTTTTTTGGCAGTTTCTGCAAGCGTTTTCATTAACAGACGATTTTCTTCTGTTCCTTTTAAAATAAACTCTTCACTAACAATTCTATCCCAGCTGTAAAAAGAATAAAATGAACTAATATATGAAAAAAAATATGGTTTCTTGTCCTTATTTTTTGCAGTGAGCCACGAGGGAAATTTTGCCTAGGCAGTAACAATTATGCCTAGTCTTAATCCCATTTCAACTGTCAAGTGTACTTTAACATGCACGCTAACATATACGGTATAAGATATCAGTTTTGCCAGGTGTGCTCAGTGAGTAAGAAGCTGGTTCGCCAACCATTAATCATGGGAGGTCCCATATTCGATCCCTGCATTGGCCGCAAACATTCATCTGGATTTTCCGGCGTAGTTCCCCCTTGTCAGTGGTGCAGAACAGAGGGCCTGGCAAGGGACAATGTGTAGTTGTACGAAAAAAGGAGCTCCTGTACACATTGGCATGCACATAAAAGATCCCTTAGCAGTTGGAATTCAATTTAAAAGTAGGCAGTAGTGCTGCTGAACGTGCAAACTTCCCCACATTGCACACTGTATGAGTGTATGGCATATGCCCCGATATGCCCATCTTCATTAGCCCAGTCGGAGCAGCCCAGTAGGCTGTTAAACCCCACTTTATTTCATTTCCGTTTTGCCCGGTACTCTGTCCTGCACCAATGACAAGGGGAAAAAAATTGCTGGAAAATACAGAGGAGCTTTCTCACGTCAACACCAGAATCAAACCCCAAACTCCTGGTTGGTGAACCAGTGTCTTGCTCATTGTGCCACTGTGACTCTCAAAATAATAAAATATATGAGCATTCAAAACAATATTTGCAATTCCTATTACCAAATTTATACATACATTCAATTTCTGGTCAGAAGACAAACTAGTTCGATATTAAGGCACATGTTACAGACTTTGTCAGACATAGATTCAGACTTTATCACGCACAATAGGCCAGTTGTCTGTTATTTTATCTCCTGTAAATTTGTTGTGGGTGAGGGTTATGTAGTTGAAAAAGTATGGTAAAATTTAATAGTGGTCTGCAGCCAAAGACTTAAAAGAGAGTTGTCTCCCTTTAATTCAATTTAAATGGAGTTATTTAGCTCCTTTAGGCTGAGATGATGTTGAGTGAATCTTCTGTTATAAATGCTGATACAGTCAAGCTATCATTTTAATTACCTGCTATTCCAGCCCTGGAAGTGAATATGATACCCGGGTATTTTCTTTCCATCTTTATCTCTCAAACTCTGCAAATCCAAAACCTAAAATACACACAAATAAATACACATTTATTGATTTATCACAATCATTAAAATAGCAATAAGTCTATGCAAGTCAGAATAAGATGTCATTTATGACTGATAAGTCGTCAACCATACTAAATGTTGAATAATAATCACATTAAATTAGAAATTCTATCTATTTAAACTCAATTGCATAACCCCAAGAAAAAGAACTTTTCACAAACATGTAGTGACATTTTATTGTTCAAAGTTAGCCCACTGGCTAGGCAAGATTGAACACTTACTTTTTTTTCTTTTTAAAAAAATGAAAATTTATATGTTCCTTCACCAAAATGAACCTGACTTTTTGATAAAACTTTTTAATTATAGCTAAAAATAGTCATTAAATAAAAATATATAATAGCTAAGTTACTGTAATCATTAAACTTATAAATGAATTCAAATGTTCGAAGTAGCCCTATTTCATGGCATGCTACTTCCATGCATATAAAATGATAGTTTCTCTATCTTTCACTTCGATATAATATTCGTCACACAGGTGAAAAACATCCTAGTGAATGTCCTATAGTATAGATGTACGTGTTTGTTGTTTAAATCCGGCATCCAGCAATATATGTAACTATTCACATGGTTCTATTGAACAAGTTGGACCAGTTGATAGACCACTTATTCCAAGACAGAAGACCGCTAAGTGCAATGCCCATGTAATGGGACTCTTTCCGGCATTCATTGTTTCAATTACGACTAGGCCTAAATGCCCCATGGAGAATTTGTTGTGGTTGAATTTTTCATGAGAGGCAGAGGCAGAAAAAGAAATATTGTCCCCAATAGCAATACTGCAATTGGTCAGTCAACACAAATCAGGATCAATCCAAATCATGACTACGTAGCATCTTTTTCTGTATCATTATAATTAAATAAGTTTCTATTACCGTATTGACTGTGGGTTCTATTGTTTTGTTTTATTCAATTTCAATTGTTATTGTTTACCTTTGCATCGTATAAAACTTTGGCTTTGGTTGGATCTGGCTCGAAACATAATACAAACTCGCCTACCATAAAATCATATTTCAAACCACGAGTTGACATTTGGTCAAATGCAATTTATACCATTAAAAATGCATTAATTATCACCCTATAAATGGTAAATAAACAAAAGATTTTTGCTGCAAGGTGCGCGCTTTATTTTTATTAGAACGACTTGCGATTGTCGTTATTTGTTTTGACATGTGACTTGATTATCCAGACATTGTGTTATGACTGCTAATCAATGAGGTATGCGTCTTGATAATGGAGAATTTAATAGTACAATATCAATAGTTATGTTTTCGTAAATATTTACGTAATCTGGCTTTGAAAACATTCATTCTAACTTGAAAAAATGTTTAAGAAAAATTATTCGTCCATAGCTGTATTTTTTTGACATGGCAAAGCAATTATTTTTTTTTTATTATTTTAGGTTAACCAGTCTTGAGATGTGTAGTATGTAGACTCTTTCAACCGGACAAGAAAATTTACCCCAAACTATTCCATAAAACTGCCAGAATGCGTCAATTAAATATGAATAACAAACGGTCCACGTTTCTGCACCTACTTGGCTATAAAATCTGACTGGACTAACGGAAACAATTCTACGCCATACAGATACAGTGTGCAATGAGGGGAAATTTTCTCTTATAAAGTAGCAGTCCTAGATTTTGATGGACCAATATATGTAATATAAAAGTGGATAGAAACATATGCAAAGGAAGCGGTTAAATGCTTGCAAGTTTTAAATGATCGCTACATTTACGTACGGGGTTCGGTATCCCATTTAAGGAAGGTAACCGAGGTTGGTCAGCGGGTTCGCTCCCGGTGTTGGTAAAGAAATAATTAAGTTCCCCGGGGTCACCCTGCGCCATTCCTGAAGCAATGGCCCGAGAAATCCCTCTCTGGCCATTGCTGGATTAGCTTCTGATACTTGCGCTTTTCATGGAGTGTGTCTTTTCTCCCCGTTCAATCAAATCTATCCAAAAGCACAGTAAGTACATGACAGCCCTTCTTTAATCGGGGGTCTTCCCTAAAACTTTGGACAGTGATTTAAGGTATTAAAAACGGTGAAAGTGTTGTTCGCCTCAAAACAATATTGTTTACATTATATCCACAGAGTAAAAATCGTGTTGACAGTTGATAGCCTTAAATGTGTGTCACACAATTAGTTTTTCTGCAATATTCTGCTATATATGCACTGGTTAATTGGGAATAATAAAATCGTGAGTCGTGACGTAACGTTATGTAAACATATATATTTGGTCCAATTTGGGGCTATGTTTGGTATTGTTACGCAGTTAGCTATTGGTTGTTAATCGGACTATTGACCAGTCATAATTTAGAACAAGAATTTGCTTTGTTTACAGCAGTGAGTAGTGGGATTAGCTTTAATCAAACGAAACTCTGCGAGGAGTTATGTACTGCGCAAGATCCCCCTGTCAGTGGTACAGGGCAGAGGATCTGACCAGGAACAGCGCCTAGTCGTTCGGATGATAAGAAAAAACTTTGCGTGCACATAAAATAACCATTGACAGCTGGAATTCGAAAATTCCCATCTCCATATTAGCCCAGTCGGTACATAAAAGAACCTCCGACAGCGGGGGACACATAGTCAAATCATCCGCTTTTAATGATGTATTGTTTCTATCAACCAATCAAAAAATTCCATAAATGCAAAGCGATTGGGCGAAGGGAATTAACTCGTATTTTTTCGCCGAATAGTTGTTGTAAACTTTGTCAATATCTTTGTGTGCATGTCGCTTCTTTAATATTAGATGTCTTGCAAACTTTCTCTCAATTGAACTTTGACCCTACATGCTGCTGGTATGTAAACTGTTTTCGATTGGTTCGTAGAATCAAGATATGTGGCCAGTGAAATCATCCAGGGCAGATAATTTGAATTCGTGAATACCCCACGATGTGTGGACTCAGGGGTTAGTGGAATAGAACGGAACTATGCCACTGGGGATACCGACAATGCCGTTATGTATGATATATGTAAGACCTTTTTTATCGGCCCCTGATTAGGAAAAGTAATTTGCATTCAAACAAAATTTCATCTTTATCGCCTACTTGTTCAAATAATTCGATTTGATCGAATGGTCATGTGGGTTTGTTAATTGTTTACTCGCCAAATGGCTTTGAAATAGACTATACTGTCACAGAACATCTACACTATCCACTAAAGTCTAAGTGATTTGGCTAGTGGATAAAACGCCCCAGTAAGTGCTTCTGTTGCCATGCTCACTTCCAGATAAAAATCTCAAACATTGTTGACGGGTTACTCATTATTTAATTTATTGCAAGCTTATTTTGCAGTTCAAGTCTATGATTCAGTTTTATTTGTCATTTTACATATCATACTTTGTGATAAAGTAATAATAGCCGTATATCCATTAGATAACCTATTTACAGTGGCGGCGCCAGAGGTGGTGTGGGGATCTTAAAATAAATTGAAAAATTTATGTGTGTACTTTTCGTTTGAAGCTAGCCGTATCTAAGCTATATTATAAGACACCACTGCCAGACCATCTCCCTCTATTGATCTATGCGGTAATGCCCCATATCCAACACATACTGGAAATGGCGTATTTCACCGGTAATTATTCAAAAAGGCGGTGTAGTTCAGGCTTTGTTACGTGATCGAGCTAGCAGTGTTGCTATCAAATAGTATTTTACCCACCGACCCCGATCCACTATGCATAGCTCTACATATGATCATTTTGACCCTGTACGTCAGCCACTTTAACCTTTGCTCTTTTGCAGAGGTGAGATCCAGACTCAATGGAAGATGCTGCACGACCAAGCTAGTAATGTAACTTTAGATTACGTGAGAACAGAAATGATTACTTCAATTATAAGATATAATTTACGACCAATCGGGCAAACATAATTAAAATTTGCTTAATGTATCGTGTTATCTGCAGTTTTGATGGTGCATGGTCCGTATTGCACTTTGGATCATTCCGGACCTGCACGGTGGTCACTATAGTCTTAGCTCTGTTGATGAGGCGAGGTCCGGACCCATGGACGAAAATACACGAGCAAGCTAGAAATTGAACTTTACATAAACAGGACACAGACGTATCTGCTATATTTCAGGAATTGCCAATAATTACACAAATTACATGCTATTGGTTTACAATGTCTGCATTTACGACCAATCAGGCAAAACTAGTTTCCTCAAAGTATCGTAACCATAGCCTGCGCTCTTTCCAGTCTGGGGTGGTTCATGGGAAGCGTTTATCGACTGAGGCTTGTGATGAACTTCCGGTGATGGTTGTTTAATGTAATGATTGAACTTAGGTTGTAAATAACTCTGCTGTATTGCAACTTCATAATCTTGATCATATAACATATCCAGAGAACGTGCACGGCGATGGTTATTACTGGGATTGTCTTCCCCTTGGAATGGCGGCTGCTGTACGCGGTGAGTGAAAAGTGGCGAGTTGCCGTTTGATTTATACTCTCGCTTCATTTGATCTGGATAATCTTCTATATCGTTCCGATACACCGGTAGTGGTTGATCCAAAGATTGTTTTCCATTTTTCTCAAAAAATGGCTGTATTAGTTGAACCAGGTTGTCTAACTGCTGTTTGGTTGGTCGGTTCTCTTCCGATAAATCGGTTTGCTGCGATTCATCTTGTGTTGTTTTGTATTCATTAATGATAACAGTTGAAGGCTTCGGTTCACTTCTGGGAGCTTCGCGTGCTTTGAACGCTGGCTCTTTTTCTTGAACAACCGGTAGAGCTACGGTCTGGATTTCTTTATCAGCGCTCTTTACTACAAAGTTGGTTTGGTTACCCTTTGTCTCGCTTAAAGGTGTTTTAAAGTCTGTTTGCGTCGAATCGTCGATAGTTTCTATGTGTTTGCCCGTCAACCCCTCGTAATCGACGATGGTTAGCGATTCCGCTTGGTCTAATTGGTCAAAAGAACTAGAAGAAGGGAAGGAGGTCACTCCCTCTAAATCTTTCTTGTTTACCAATACATCAACCTGAAAAAGATTATTGATTAATTTTTGAAACAGATATGGCAGGAAGTGACTGTTCTCGCCTACCATCAAACACCCCCTGCACCACCCCTGCCACACATGAGCAATTAATCAAACACTCAAAAAAAAACACCACACTACACACCAAGCATAGCATACTTAAATACGCATTATGTAAGATTTAGATAAAGAGCTGTCCGTTCTTGTTATAAGTTCAAAAATAGATAATGCAAAATGAATAATAATATGTCGAAAATTTCATTCAAATTTCTGAGCGACGTTGTCACTGTTTTGAGTTTCGACAATATGTGGCATTGATTTTTTATTATCGTAACAACGATATGACCTAGAGAGTTGATTATGGGCCTGTCGTGTTAATATAAATATTTAAATAATCTATACTAATAATTGTGACTGTCGTTTGTTTGCCTGTCTTTTCAGGGTTGGCGTCTGCACTAGGGCTGTCGCAAGGATGACATTTGATGTATAGGGGTGGCTTCGACCGGAGGGTAACACAGGCCTGGTGGCGGTGGACTACCACTTCTTATATAATACATGTAGTCCAAAGGTGCCGACAACAAAAAAAGGTCATCTTTCCTGCACGCTACGGTGTAGTTGTGGTTATTTTTTACTTAATTGTTTACATTGGAGTTGGAATACATATATCTGATTAATTTGAGTAGTACGCTTACTCCTCGTATTCTTTCGGTCGGTAAATCTCCATTGACAAGTATAACCTGGGCCGGATTTTATGAGACCCTTTTTAACTATACCCGTCATATTTATTTATAGTACACAACTTTTTTAGAACAAAACTGGGGCGCCTGGCTGCAGCTCAGTCGCACCCCACCCCGCCTTTAAATCCAGCTCTAAGGTGTAACTAGTATACGCCTATTGTCTTATGACTAACGCGCATAGGGGAACTATTTTGAAATTGCTCCGAATTTTGTCGGTGGCCGAAACGTCGTACATGAATATTACCTGAGACGGATTTGTACTTGAGCAGCAGCAGCAGATAATGGACGCTAGAACAGCAACCATTAGTAGAAACAGACTTAGTACACCTGAAGCTATAGGTAACAACCAGATCAAAGTATGGGTGTCATTATCAATATCTCGTCTCTACAAATAAAAACAAAATTACACGTAAATTGTCTCTAGTCGGAGGTGGTTTGGGTGGTCGAAAGGTTTAACGCGCTAGCTCATAAGGCCTGTCATTGAGTGGTGTGGTTCCGATTCCCCGCTTGTATGTGACAAGGAGTAGGGTCGCCCTTCAAACCTCGTGGGTTGTCCCCGGATCTTCCGGTTTCCTCCCACCGTTAAAGACCCCTACGCGCGAATTATTGAAATAAAATTGAACCATATCTTAGTCCTGAAAAGCCCTAGTTTGTGTCGAGTGGGCGTGGACCTGTATCGCAGAGAGATACACCGTCAAAAGTGAAAATGGACGTTTTTGATTTTTGTCTTAATAATGAGTAATTGCTCCACCAATCCTCAGACATTCAGCAATTCGTCGTGGCATGCTCCTAATCAACCGTCCAATCACGATTTGGGGCAATCTGACCCACTCCTCTTGCAGTACCACGACCAATTCTTGCAGTGTTGTACGTTGACGTTGACGTCGACGAACACGATTCCCAATCAAATTAAACGTAACATACTAAAGCAAATATACGCTAAACAGTAAATCTTATGCAAGAACCGATAGGAAAGCAAACATGGATAGATAAACCAGCACGCGGCAGTTTTCATCAACCCTTCCTTGAAGTGTCAAATTTGACAATGAACCCCTCCCACGTGTATGGCGCTATTGCGTGTCGCAAATGCAGCCCAGTGGTTCTGTTGGGGCGATAAGTTCTTCATCTGTGAAATACTCTCAAAGCATGTCAAGTGTCCATGACTATTTATCATATCACAACCTGCATATGTATTTGCATTTCAATATCCCCTACTTTTTTTGAAGAGTATATTTCAGTATCATGATTGTATCAGAAGCCACTGAGGCTCGGTGATTAAAGCAACGACTCACAAACCAGTGGTTCCTGGGTTCCAAGTGATATAGAATAGAAAGCGTCTAGTCGTTCGTATGGGGCGACCAAAACCCAGATCCAGCCGCGTACTCGTTGATAGGCTCCTAAAAGAACCTGTGAGAATTGGAATTCGATTAAAAGTATGTGGAAAAGAGACCAGGGAAATGTCCCCCATATCGCTGCATAGCCCCTTTAAGGATCTCGTTTGCGTTCAATAATGTTTCTAAATATTATTAAAATATCGGTCTCAGGTGTTTTGATTAGCGGTAATATTACTAGCACTACCCCGGTTAGTGCAGGAAGCCGCCATGGTCCCGTGTTTAAGGCGCTGGCTCACTCAACAGGTTCCCTTTGTCTGTGTTGCAGGATGGGGAACCTGGCGAGGAACAGCGTCTAGTCGTTCGGATGCACGTAAAAGAGCCCTAGGCAGATGGAGTTCGATATAATAATTGGCCGTAGTGCCGCTGTCCGCGCATAATTCCCCTCATAGCACGCCACATGGCATATATATGCCTGTCTTTATTATCCCAGTTAGTGCAGCAAAGTAGGACCATAAACCTTATTTTATTTCACTTCATCTCTACATATATCTTATGTTCTTTAATGTTGTAATACCTACCAGATATGCAACAGCTAGAGATACAACACACGCCACAGGAGCAAATATAAAACCAGTTATAATGTTCATCACCAGATACACAATTTTCTGTAAAAGAAACCACTTCAATATCAATAATTAAGCCTGGATACAGAGCCTGCCAAGTGGTCGATCATTGCACTGGAGATAAAAAGACACGTTATCTATGCAAGTCGTGATATTCCGGAAATGACCTTATTAGCTGTAAGTGTTATTGGCAGAAGGATATGCTACGACCATTTTTACAGACAGAATGGCGGGACTGCAATATTTGACCATATTAATAGGCAGAAAGGTGAGACTGCAATATATGACCATATTTAAGAGACAGAAAGGTTAAACTGCAATATATGACCATATTTAACAGGCAGAATGGTTAAACTGCAGTATATGACCATATTTAACAGGCAGAATGGTGAGACTGCAATATACGACCATTTTAACAGACAGAATAGCGAGACTGTAATATACTATTCAAAAAAAGTAGGGGATATTTGATTTTTAAGTGTTATTAAAGTCACCTAATGAAACTGACGAAGAAACAAATGACAAAATGAAATGAAGTTCACATTCATCGATTTATTCCAAATGATCGTTAGACTAAGTAAGGCACAGACTGACCATTATAAGGGTAAAATGATACCCGGGGTCAACAGCAAAGTTACCACAGCATCACAACCAAGTCAGTAACGGGTAAATCCTCCTCTGTTTGCCAAACAAGCATTGATCCGACGTAGGATACTCCTAATGAGACGTCTAAGGTCATTTTGGTCCAGATTGTCCCATTCCTGTTGCAACGCAGCAGCAAGTTCTTGGACATTGGCAGGACGTTGTTGACGTTGACGTAACCTCTGTCCAAGCATGTCCTAGACATGCTCGATGGGGGAGAGGTCGGGACTCAGTTCTGGCCAAGGTAGTGTGGTGATGTTCTGTTGTTGGAGGTAACCTGTAACGATCCTGGCCCTGTGACATCTTGCGTTGTCATCCTGGAAGATGAAACGGCGGCCATGACGTCGTGCGAACGGCACAACATGGACTGCCAAAATGTTGTCCTGGTAGTACTGGCCTGTAACACGCCCTGCAACAACATGTAAAGCCGTTCTTCCAGCAACAGTGGTGCCTCCCCACACCATAACAGAACCACCCCCAAATCGATCATGTCTGATGACGTTAACGTCTTGGAAGCGCTCGTTTCGACGACGCCACACCCTCCTACGTCTGTCCAAAAAATCAACAGTGAACCTTGACTCATCTGAAAACATCACATTGCTCCAGCGTCGATTATCCCAGTGTTGACGATCCCTACACCAACGACGTCTTGCCTGAATGTGATGATCTCTCAAACAAGGGATCACGCGAGGACGTCGGGCGCGAAGGTGACCCCTATGCAGTCGATTCCGAATCGTCTGGCCACTCACTCTCACACCAGTGTCTGTTTGAAGACGAGCGCTGATCTGATTTGCTGTGATGACACGATTTCTCAAGGCCAAGGTACGGATAAATCGATCCTGGGCTTGAGTTGTCGCCCTTGGTCGACCTGAGCGTGGTCTGTCCTGTACAGATTGTGTATCACGGTATCTGGACCATAGCCTGCTTATGACAGACTGAGAAACATTCATCGTCCGCGCCACAACCGCCTGTGTTGTGCCGATCTGTAGCATGCCAAGGGCACGTAACCTTTCATTTTGGGTAAGCCGACGCATATCAAAATTTGTTTTCTGGTCACTAAAACAATTAAACTGATGTTTCCACCCTGGAATTCAATGCCACAATGACTGTAACATTCAAAGTCAGAGTCGTGCAAATCTTGGGTTGGACCCCCATGATGATCCCAAGCATCACCTGCTATTGGTGCGTTTGGGCGTCACATGTAACTGGAAATGTTTCTTCTGTTAGGTTCTATAGTGACTTTTTTCGTAGTCATTTGCATATTTTAGTATTATGCCCCCAAAATCAAATATCCCCTACTTTTTTTGAATAGTATATATGACCATATTTAGCAGACATCAATAATAATACACAGAATCATATATCAAAGTTCTGAACTTACTATAAAATATAGAGACGAAACCTTTTTACGTCCATTTCCAATACAAGCACCCACGCTTCCTGTAACGAGGAACTAACAAAAAAAAACATATATCGTTAAATGAAGGTTGGTGGATAATAATCAGGGGTTGGGGGAAATCACGAGGAAGGTTCTCTAACTTTCTCGACAAATAGTTCGATCGATCCGGGATCTATTGGCTAGCGAGACACCACGGCTAGAACACCAACAAATCGGATAATGTTATAAAAATGTTACGTGCAGGTTCGCACCTAATTAACATGCTGGAGAAAGCAGGGGAACTTTCTCAAATAACACTTCGATCGAACCCGCGCCACCTAAGATAAGTGTATGTGGTTTAACGCGTGAAATCACAGGGTCTGTCATTGACTCAAGTGGGGTGATTTGCGATTCCCCGCATGGACGTGACAAGGAGTAGAGTCGCTTGTCCACCCCCCAGTTTCCTCCCACTTCCAAAGATCCTTAAGTGCAAGCGAATTATTGAAATAAAATTGAACCAAACGTTAGTCACGAAACCTGTAGTTAGTGAGCCACCCTTGATAAAAGTGATAACGTTTCTACGATCTTTAATTCTTGTCATACAACTATGAAATAAAACTACTCTAAAGGTTCAAAATTAGATTAACCATCCCGACATTACAAAAATAAAACTGAATAGAATTTAATAATAAATTTGCTATACGTGCATAGGTCAAACGATTTAATTCAAATTTGTTCAAAATCAGACCTGAATTACTGAATCACTCGTCTAAATGTCTTTGTTGAAGATTAATTGATGAAATAAATCCAATAAATAGATCTTTTTTTTTCACCTTTTAAAAATATTTTAAATACGATAATCCAATATAATATGATAATAAATCAACAGATGAATCACCCTCGATAAGCCGATTGTCAGATCAACCGATTAAATCACCCTCAGTAAGCCGATTGTCAAATTGAAATTACTAGTCGTATTTTATGGACACGATATACATGTATATAAGAATGACTTAATTTTCTGTCTTTTGATATAGAATATAAAGTAATGAACCTTGTTTAAACTTTTAGAATGAAAATATTGAGACCATTATACGCAATGAATGATTTGAAATAGGGGTTAACGCCCTACTGTTTTGCTTCTACTACTGGGCTAATGAAGTTCGTTCGTTCGTTCGCAGGGTTTTACGTCCGCTTCCACCTTGGTGATATTGTAGACAAGTATTTCCTAAGAAACTTGTCAGAGAAGCCACGTTATAGTAGGCTTAGTCCAGTCTGGGTAAGAGACATGAGATTGATTAGTAGGTCTATTCGATCAAATGAAGACGGAAGTGTGTGAAATAACTTTATTTACGCCCAATTTTACCGAAGACGGAAGAGATCATTATATTATAGGTGTACGATATCAATGACGTATCCAGATAAGGACCCTACCACACCGCTCCTTCCCACAGTATAAACAAAATGCCGTTGTTATTTTGTTTCTATGAAAGGTGTAACTTTGAGCTTTTTGTTGGTTTATATAGCTAATGAAATTCAGTAGTATATCCGGGTCCGTACATATCATACTAAACTTACGCTATCTGTCTACAATTAGCTGCACTTGAGAACAGACACTAAGCTAACTGACCGACATTTTAATCGACGATTTTAGTCAAAAATACTAAGATATTTCAAGAATTTTGAGACGTATATATTCAGCTTTCATTTAATAGGTTTAATTAATCTATTTCTGTATAAGAAATGTGAACCAGGGTAGCACCGCATTACAAAACAGTATACTAATTGTTGGATACGACCAACATTTAGGGCAGACTAGAGATCCATTCTCAAAGTAGAGTAGATAGTTCTGTGCAAAGCCCAGCTTAGACATGGGCCTGATGGCCCACGCCCGTGGGGCCCGGCGGTACATGGCAAAAAGAGAAAAAAATTCAACTTCCAGATGAAAGTTTCACGGTAATCGCCGTTAGACTATATGTAATTTCCGCGCATTGTATGTCATTCGGAACTGAATATGAATAGATTTCGTATGTGATCAGATATTATGTAATTATTCTTGTATTACAGATCGTTTAATTGTGTATTACGCATGTGTGCCATTCAAAAGGATATGAAATAATCTTTTTGTCGCGTTAGGGGCCCCGCGATTCTAGTCAGGCCCACGGCCCCGCTCCGGTTAAGCTGGACTTTGGTTCTCTGTGTGCCGAATGGGTCCAGATATGCGTCTAAAATAACTACTGACAGTCCGATTTTTCTCAGGAGCTTTTGATTCTGACGTTTTGTTCCATAATTAATTCTCCAAGACATTGCGGTGGTGTGGAGGAGCGAATGGTGGCGCAGGGTTGGGAATGGAGGCAAACAATATTTAATGTACATGTACATTCAAGTAACTTTCAAATAGTGTATACGCCAAATGGCAGGACGTGTGATGGGGGGAGTTACTTACCCACAGTCCACACCAGATCGGTGCACCAGCTATGGTGAGAGTACGGTGCCTTAGAAACAGATTCGTTTTATCAATTGGTACCGACGACAACGAAGGTAACGGTGATGGTAATGGAGAAGAATAATGATAAATAATAACTGGTTTGGTGTCTTCGTCGGTTCGATAGAAAAATAACACTAAATCCAGTATCCCTAAAATAGCCAATATACACGCCAAAAATATCTGCATTCCGCCAAGTAAGCCTAGACCAAAATATGGAAATTTATCCCATGGTCTTGATAGGATTTTTTTGAGTTTTCCTTTCATCTTCTTGGAGAAATCTTGAGAAAAGATCTGGAACTGAAATAAAGAAAGAATACATCGAATTGATAAAACAGAAAATGTTTAATATAATACTAATAATATGGTAAGCATATAAAGATCACCCCATACTTTAATACAAAACACAGACATTGTAAGCACTATTTTGCTCCGACTAGGCCAATGAAGACGGACATATACGCCATACAGTGTCCTACGGGGGAAATTTTGCTCGGGCAGGGGCGCCGAGGTCTACGATTATTTATATCGAATTCC